GGAGAATATAGGTGTAATGCCAACAACAAATATGGAGGAAACCTGATTTTTAACCCTTATTCTTTACAGGTGGTCTTTGTGAGGAACCACGTATATATATATATATATATATATATAGGCATCTGACCTTCAGGAATAAAAAGGAAAAAACTGTCAGGAAACAGTTTGGAGCAACTTTTGAATTTGTGGCAAAAGCAAAGTCACTTTCACTGCATTTAATGAAAATTCAAAAGGTTAGTTATTTAAGATAGCAGCATAACAAGGAAATTGGTGCTACAGTTGTGGGGATTGCAAAAATGTCCATATTTCAGCTATGATTATTTTCAGAGGTCTACTGGCACGAGTGCTGGCGTGCGGTTTACTAGACATAAGCGATTGATTTTGCTTGTATTTTTAATTATATTTCGTAGCCTTACTTTTGTAGCAAATGTGTTAGCTGTAGAAATCATACTAGCGATTACATCTGTTTGATAGCTTAGTAACATTTTGTACATTTTGTCCTGCCTCTGCGTCAAATTCCTCCAGCTGCTTGGAGGAATTGGAAGAGAAGGCATGGAATTAATCAGGAACCACATTCTCTATATTATTGATATGAAAATGATTAGTTCACAAAACTACATGAAAATGACGTAGAGGATTTGTAACAGCTTCGTAACTTTCACGACACACGCGTCAAACTCACATCGGAACCTAAAAAACCTAAAACTACCCTTCTTGGACGCCTCCGTTCCCTTCGAAGATGATGGCCTCCCAAAATTAAAGTCCCCTTCTACAGGAAACCAAAGCGCGGATCAATACTGAACTTCAACTTAAATCATCATCTGGAACGCAATTGCTCTGTCTTACGCACCTTACCGCGTTCTGCAAAACATATGGTGACTGATCCGCATGATCAGAGAAAGAGGTTAGGCGAGTCAAGAAAGCTCTGATATCTAAAGGTTATCCTGAATGGATACTCCAGCTCCTCACCAAGAAAAAACAAGAAATGGGAAGGGCCAGACCAAGATAGACGAGGAAAGATCACCATTAGTGTATCGTACCTTGGAAGTTCTTCAGGTGGCATTCAGGCAACTGGGAGTCGACCTTCAGCGCAAGCCGAATATTAACATCAGGCAGCTACTGATGCATGTGAGATTAGAGACTTCAGTTTCAAAACAAAGGGGTGTAATCTATCTGTTAAATGTGAGAGTTGTTAGCATGATTATGTGGTGAACACAGCTTAGCCTCTAGGCACCAGGTTTAAAGAACAGCTGAGAAGAACATCGTCGGCCATATATGAACATTGTGTTTCACTAGGTTGTTATAGCACTCCGGAAGATAAAGGAGGCTATAGATATCAGGCTGAGTCTTCCATCGCTGAAAAAGGGACGAGGAGCTTTAGATTACCGAAGTCTACGAAATTATGTTGCCATCTGAAACCGCTCTGAGCGAGCGGCTACATACATGTAGTTTCATTCATGTGAAATCAGCTTCCCTCTAAATTATTCAAGATAACAGAAAGGCATTATTTTACGGGAAATCTATGACATTTTTTTTTGTATGTGTGGTTACTTGTCCAGTTCCATCTGAACCAACAAAGATGAATAAGGATGTTATTTATGGGTCAACTATTGGTATCCTTAGCTTGATGCTTGTTCTCAGTATCATTTTCAGTACTTGGGAACGCCGCAAATGTAAGTGGAGTTGATAGCGTTTTTGATTCATTTAAAAAAAAAAAAAGGAAATCAAAATAATTTCTCAAGAGTTTTGATGATACTCACCAACAGCAATACGTTGACCTTTCGTTAGATATTATTAGTAGTACTGACTGCAAACATTTACAATCGAAGGAGCTGATTTATATCGTGTTGTGTATATAAGAAATTTCAAATTACTGAATTAACCATCTTTTGTCTATCTGATATCGTTTCTTTATTTCTCTTCCTAATTCCTAGGTGAGAGGGTTGATCGGTAAGGTGACTCTTGTTTAAAGAGTTAAATATCAAAAAATTAATGCATCCCATGCGTAAAAAAGGGCCACTGAAAAGAAAATAATTTCTTATCGTTTATAAAAACGTCAGAATTTAATTTCATGTCAGTTAGCCATCTTCTAATGATAAAAGCTGATAAAAGCTTTGCCTTGAGGGACAGTAAGCTGAAATTTAGCAGATTCAATGTTGGTAAGATAAAAGAATACTGAACTAAATTACGTCAGAAAAATATTTTTTACAAAATTATGGATACGTTTAGGGCGAAGAATCGTCAAATGTTTCATTTTATTTCTTTCAGACTAAATAGAGTTGCTGAGAGATCACACAGCCCCCAAACTGTAATTATGGAGTATATTTTCTTCAGATATTTTGTTATCTACTATTACGTGTGGCAGATGAACGTTTGGTAACTTGATGCTTGACGTTAAAGGCTGGCAGAGATTCTTACATTCTTAAACAAGCCTTAAGCATATTACCATTGTGAATCAGTTGTGTAAAAATGGTAATGCAGATGAAGTAACAATTAAAGAACAGTGTAGGCCGTTCACCTCTATTCTCTGAACTTAGTTTTTTTTTTCGAGTCAGATCTTCTTAACACTGATTTGCAAGTGCCAGATTCTGGTTATAATTTGGATGAAAACTCAAGCACTCCTCTTTCCTTCATTTAATCGCCCACCATTATAGAATAGGTCATGGTTGAGTTTCACAGCTCTTTCATTTGATACTCTTATTGACATGGATTTGATGAAATTTGCATAAAATTTTGATGAGATTGCCTTAAATTAACACATACCCGATGTCTGTGTCTTGCTCAATGTTATATTAAGTGGCAAACTTTATTTTTTTCCCTTGAAAACAGAACGAAGGAATTGAACTCGAGCTTCATGGTCATCAATATTTACACGACTCTGAATGAAGTCAGATCTCAAGATGGGGCAGATGGAAACCCAACAGCAAATTACTCAGAAATGAAAAAGTACGCTCCCCTCCATCCAAGTACGCGCTCATGGGAAGTTGCAAGAGGAAATATAACAATTGAAAAGATCATTGGAAAAGGTGCCTTTGGTCAAGTCGCCCAAGGAAAAGCTATAAGCCTTCACGGGAGAGAGGAATCAATAACTGTTGCCATAAAGATGCTGAAAGGTACTACATTAATTGTCCAAATAACGTTTTTGTGTGGATATTGCTTAAGTCTTACCGGAAATTTGTCCCTTGTTTCAGGTAACGCCACAGACACAGAGGGAAAAGATTTGCTTCAGAGCTTGAAGTCATGAAGAAACTCAAGCCCCATCCCCACGTCATCAAATTGCTGAAATCAGGTGTTAAAATAAAATAAATAACTACTTAAGGAGGCTTGAAAGGGTTTTCCACAATTAACGTCAGATACCCAATAGTAAAAGATATCAGGACTGTCGGTCTTAACATTTGGGCAACGCATTAACATCTTTTAAAACTATTGTAAAGGCATTTTTTAAGGGTGTTCGTCAGGCCTCATCTATTGTCACGGGAAAAGTACAGCGGTGCAAAAAGACCCTTTATCAAGAAAACATCTAGGACAACTTGAACTGTTCAGGAAAATGCTGTTGCAAGATGTAAAAAAAAAAGATGGTCACTAGATTTTTTTACTATTTTCACAAATGCGTAGTTATTAATACAATTAATGCACAAAAAATCCGAGTTGGTCGCCGAGCTAATTTTGGAGATATTAGCTAATCAACTTAGCAAGCTTTGTTTCCAGTTTTCGCAATTTTTAGTTCACACTTTTATAGGCAATCACGCGTCTGAGCGATACTGCTTACTCTAAGGCTCATTTTTGCCAAGACAAGTCCGTGCGATCGCGTAGGCGGAGAAGAAAGCGTTTTTCTTTTGTTCTTGGTTAGTGAATGACAAATATCTCATTTAGAGTTTGTAGCGGAAGAGTGGAGATAAGATTTATGAGAGATTTGACGTCTTCCAGAGTGTCAAAAAGGAGCATACGAAATCGAAACCAAGGGAAGTAACGGGTTCATGGCTTGTGGAAGAATAATTTTGCCGGCCAAACTTTTACTTTTCTCGAAGCTATTTCTGTAAGAAATATTTCTCTTTTTATTGCGCAAATAGCCACATTCAGCTTTTGCAAGCAAATAGGCTAGGCTCAGCGTTGTTTAATTGGATTGATTTCGGCCGCCATTGTTGTTTATGACACGCAGTTGCGCGGGAGGATCGCGCATTGGATACATTTATTTGGACCCATTCTCCCCCGGCATATAAACCCTCTCGAGCCTCCTTAATTGATATACGTCTCTCATTCAATTTGGGGTATATTTTCATAATAGTTAAATTCCGTTAGTAGTGTAGCTTTGTTTTGGAATAATCTAAAATGCTCACTACCGTTATCAATTTTGAAAGATTATCCACCGCGACCTTGCAGCCCGTACCATCTTGGTTGGAGAGCTAGAGCAATGTAAGGTGACCGACTTCGGAATGGCTCGAGATGTGTGCCAGGAAAATATCTGCGAATTGAAGTCAAAGGTTTCTTTTCTAAATATAACACGTTATCTGTTTTCATTATAACATGTTGTATGTTGGATTAATACCGTTATCTATCAATTTTGATGTATGATATTTAAAAATAAAACCAAAGCAAGGGAAATCAAAGTAACCAATCAGAAGTACTGGAAATTTTAAAACGAGTTAATGAGAGCTAAAAGTACATCCACATACATTTTATTTTACATTTAGGAACCTCTTCCGCTGGGTGTACGAGTGACCAGGACGCAATTGTTTTTCATTTTTGTACCTGATTGTTTAAGAGAGTGGCGCGAACGTTTTTGGTCCAATCACAGCTTGTAGTATAAAAAAACTGAGGTATTCTAGGTTTTTTTTACCCTAAGTTGACCCTGTAATTCTCAGTTGATTGAGAGCAAAGGTAAAACTTATCACGGTACATTAGTTTCTCGACGGAAATTTTGGTCAATAGTTGGATCAAACCAACACCTTTAGGGAGAATGTTATATTTTTGAAGGGGGTCAGAGTCCGTTATGCACTGATGTCACAACCGCAAAAAAACCAATCCAACCCGTAATTAGTCTCCAACCAATAGCACTTTTACGTCATCACAAACAGTCGGTTTACGTTCGATGATCATCGCATCATAAGTCTTCGTGCTTATACTTTCATTTTCGGTTGCTCTCCTTATCCAAATATCGAAGGACGAAAAATGGCTTATTTACTTGCTCAGGGTTACAGGATGCCCAAACCACGGCACGTGGACAAAAAGCTGTAAAGTCATGGATCCTTCCACTGATTTAATTATCTATGTAATTTACTTTAAAATGTTTCGATTTTTTTTTTCATTACCTCGATCACTATTTGGCAACGAGATTTTGTTTTCATTTTATAAGGGTTTGATGAGCGAAACGCCCCAAGTGAAGGTTACTCGAGAATTGCCTTTCTATGAGTCCTTCGGGAAAAAAAAAAACAAAAAAAATGCGCGGCTTCTGATTGGACGCATCATTTTCCTCACATGTGAAAAAAGGGATAAGTGCCATTTGATTGGCTCTAGTGTTCTTCGACCGGCTTGGAAATGAAAGTTTATTGCGCGCCTTCTCAGCGTGTAAATCCTAGTACTTTCTTCAAATTAATTTTATTCAACTTATATAAAGGACAGGTCCAACCCTTCCAACCCATTGAGCTCTGTTGAATATATTAAGCTTTAAATACCTATTTTCTAGTTACAAGAAAATGCAAAAAATGCTTGCTAGAGAATCTTGATGATCGTCCAACTTTTGAAAATCTTTGAAGAAAATGGAAAATGGACATCAGGTAAAACATGTAGAAAAAAATTTATGCAAGGCTTGATCATCTTTTCATATAGTTATTTAAATTAATTAATTCAATTTTGTTTCTTCCTCTCAGAGACTTTTCAACATGCAACAATACGACGCCATCCTTTACGCGAATATGGATTGAACTTCTGTTCCAGAACCACGGAAACAAGTCTTATCACCACAAGCGGGAACCGTTACTGGAGAATGTAAATTTTAAAACAAGACTTGCGCTAGTGCTAGAAGAAGTTTCTTTTAAAATGCCACTGATAGCTAAGGGAAGCACTATATTAAGGTCGAATTCAAGCAAGCAGTTGTAGTTAAATTGATATTCGTAGTAAGTAAGTTAAGATAGACTTTAACTTGCTTTATAATTATTATGGCAACTAGTCAATGCTAAGTTTGACAAATGGTCTATAGTCATTAGATCATTTACCGTGAGAGCTGTATTAATGCGATCCACTTTTCCTTGTCACCCTTTCTGAACACAAACACATCGGAAATCCCTTACACATGGTCAACGACATCATCAAATAACATATTTTTTCTGCAATACAAAATTAAACAAAGCAATGAAAAAAGGAAACTTTCTCTCATTTGCACACAACATCTGATGATGAAATAGTAATAAAGCAAGCTTTGAATCGGCTAAGGGTGATGTGGCTAAATTTCCGATCTCGTAGATTAACAATACTATCTATAGTAGAACGAACCATGTATGATTTAATCGCATTGTAAGCAAGGTGCATCCAGAAATTCAAGAAAGGTTAAACAAGCTCTTCGCCAAGTAATGAACCACGGTCCAATACTCTAACCGCGATCCAGGAAGACTGTATCGAGCACGAGGTAGAGGCTTTAAGATAAAAGTTGTTGGAAATTTGCTTCGAAATGAACAATTTTTTTAACTGCTGTTCATTTGAATTTTCTTCTCTGAACAAAAAAACAAACAAATAAGCAAACATATCTAAATAACTCGTTGTAAGGAGAGACATGCAAAAGAAGTCAAATCTCATAACCTTGTCTTTACAAAGAGGTCACATATTCAGGTAGAACTTTAATAATATTGGCCTTTGTTTAAAGCTAAATTAAGGAGCATGACGTTAGAAAAAATTGACAACACAAACACATAGAGAGAATTTTTTAATTCTAATCAGTGTTGAATTCCATTCACAAATTATGGCTGGAGGACAAGTTGTTTCTCTTCTTTTTTTCTCTTATTTCCCTTCAAGAATATCGTATTCTTACAAACAAAGTGATAAAAAAATCCAAATTGAATATGTACAGGATCCAAAGAATATAAAGTTCAAATCATACAGGAAGAAAAATATGCTAAACAGCTGTTAATTTGCAGGTAAAGATAACTATTTCTAGAATGAATATGTTTACAAGCTTAGTCTTTGGAACATTGTCACGAGCTCATAAATCATTGTAGTAAAACAATGGTAAAAGTATCATCTTAGAAAAAAAGAAAAAACATGCGTTTTTTTTTTGAAAAGCCTCAATTAAATTTTTCTTTGTGACCTTTCAATTTTTCTGCGAAACGCAAATTTATCCATGCATAGCGAATCAATATTAATGTGGTTATTCGAGTTCACTGCTTCGGAGAGAAAGCCATAAGCCAGGATGAAAACAACAGTGACGCGTATTCCTTAAAATGCACGATCTTTGTCTCTATCTATTTTTTTTCCATATTTAGTGACTGAATGCGTCAGTTTACGTTGCGAAAGTTTCTGCGGTTGAGCCAATTTAAAATAATTGTAACGCCATTGAATTCTGGCGCACGGGTGGGCTCAAACTTTCGACGAATAAATCTCACGCCTGGTTCCCTCACCGACCATGATCTGACTTTTTGTTTCCAAAATTGAGTTGTTACGACCTGGGATTCTTTCCCATTTGATTGCATTTTTTGTTCCCCTGATCAAAATCTGCTTCAGTTAAAAGGAATCAAATTAAACTTCCGCAACAGACAACAATGAAATATACCAGCTATGTATTTAATCCGATCTGAATATGCATAATCACGTACTGTAAAATAAATCTTTGTATTTCAGAACAGGAACTCAGTGATATCGGCCGTTTTGTACTTTCGAACTTCCTATAGAGCAAATTCCGCATTTCTCTTCATCAGGAGAGCGATAAACCTCATGTAAACATCATGTCTGCGCTCTTTGTGGTTATGGCATGGACGTTAACCATAACAGCGTTGTCTGGAAACTCTTTCGTGATATTTCTGATCCTATTCAGAAAGAACCTTCGCGCACGCAAGCTCAACTGGTACATCATTTCCCTTGCTATAGCGGATGCTTTAGTGGCCTTGAGTTTCTATCCTCCATTGTTTTTTTGTGATCGTTGGTCGTTCTGCCAAACAAGTATCATGAGAGCATTTCGCTGGATCTTCATTTACTCCTCAGTATGCAATTTGTGCGCCATGACAGCTGACCGTTACCTCGCCATCGTCAAACCCATGTACCACAGAGTCAAGGTATCGGACAGGATTGTGGCCATTTCGATCGCGATGTCATGGCTTTTTCCTATTATTTTGCGTGGTGTTGTCTTCACTCCCCTTTATTACCTGCATAAAAGGGAAGCATTCAAGTACTTTCTTCCTGTGATAGTCATAATATTTGAGGTTCTTCCGTGTTTACTCATTCTCTTCGCTGCCCTGCGAATAAGCATCGTTGCCAAAAGAGAACAAACAAAACACAAGAACAGATCGAAAGGAAAAGCCAAAAAGGAGAATCGAAGAGAAGGATCAAGAGCTTTGAAGATGATTTTGATGGTCACATTTCTCTTTGTATTCTGTTACGCCTTGGAAGCTTATTACACGATGTGCAAAAATGTTTTAAAACTGTGCGACGACACTGAAATAATTCAGATGATTCGTCGGCTCATGTTGATAGCGAACTCCGCGATTAATCCATTTGTGTACACCTTTCTGAGAAGAGATATTAAGGAAGAAGTAAAGAAACTGAAATTGTCTTGTAGAAGGGAGAAACATTTTACCAGACACGAAACTGTAATCGGTTCTACGGCACTCTCTACAGAGAGGGACATACGCTAAATTTGAATTTTATACTTATTGTTGGAACCCGTTGGCTAGGAGATCTTGATATGAGAACTGACAACTATTAAGCTCTTAGTAGTCTATGGACAGCGAAAATCGCCTTAAAGTAGTTAACAGTGAGTCAGCAAAGATCAATACTCACCTCCCAAGGTCCAAATTGAGTTTGCACCAAGAAACGCACATAGCTATCTACGCTCGAATCTAGATTAATAATGCCGTAAAAAGAGTGCTGTAAGTTTAGAGGATTACAGGAATTTTAAGGAAGTTGGCGCGGGTTCTTAAATATTTTTCAGTTGTAAGACTTTGGTTTACACTTGGCTCGGCCTCAACTAAGAACCTTTGCTTACAAGTCACGTTTACGGTGGATAAAAATCCAAGGTTAAAGATAAATATATGGATGAGAAATAATGGCTTTTTATCTTTATTTAAAGTTTTCAAATCAGTGAAACGCGCTAATTATCCTTTGACGTAACAATGACAACGCATTAACGTATTCGACGCATCAGGGTCAATTTTTGTCGCAGCTCTCGACAGAAGGAGCCCAAATGTTCTTTCCAAATCTGTTTTCTCATAAAAACACTCGTTGTCTTTTGGATTACATAAAGTAATAAGTTGATATAAATTTTTCAGTTTAATCTAAAACGAGCATCAGGGAGTTATTGAACTCAATATAAGTAAAATATGTCCACTTAGATCAATGATCAATGTTTTGTATTCTACTTATTAGATCTGGCTTGTATTGGGCCGATAAAAATATAAATTACAGGTTTTCTGTGGCACTTATGAAACCTTTGCAATGTCATTGCTAGATCGGTCTAACTCTGAACTTTCAATGTCCTTTAATATCTTTCTAGGATGAAAAATTAATAATCGATCGGCTGGTATTCTATTTCGAACATAGCGTCTAGCTTATTTCAATTTGAACACTTACCGCCAAAAAGATGGTGACAGATTTATGTACATACAATTTCTGCCTAGTTTAATTTTATTACATGGACACTTGCCGGATACACATTTCTGACACTTGGAGGAGATGCTCTTGCTAAAGTAAGCTAATCTGATTTATCAGTTTCTCTCTTACATTCCTCATACCCTCTTCTTTTTTTACTGTGTCTATACATTTTCCTGGCAAACAGGTTGTACGGCGGCAATTTTCTGAATCTTCATTTAATCAGCACTGTATAAAGTACTTACCTTGTATCACCCTGTTGTCGAAGTCCCGAATTAAATTAGTTGGTGCTTTGATGTTGTTCAATCCGGGTTTTCACTCCCTGTGAAGCCCGGTCTCAACCAGATTGAATGCATGGTGGTCAAAAATTTCCGCTAATTCCCACAAAAAACCTCCAGTATTCAGAGTATTCAATGTTTGTTGAGAAATGCCAAGCGATTCGACGAATCATTCTGGTTTTGAAGCTAACGATTTTCCCGAGCTTTTCAGTGAATTCAAAATAATTGTAGACACGGGATTCTCTGCTTAAAACCTTTCTTGTTTGTTTTTCGTCCACCGGAAATTCGACCATAAATTTGCTTGATATTTCGAGACGAGCCTCATTGGAAATTCTCTGAAAATTTCAGACCGTCGAACGTTTAGTCCGTGAAAGCGAGTTCCTTGGCACTTAGCCATAGCCACTGCGTGTTAGATACTTTTTCAGTTCAGTGCTCTTCTCCCCAACATGCCGTCACCCATACCAAGTTACACAATTTGAATCGTTAGTCAACCATTACTAATGAATTTACTGATGAACATTATCGAGCGATAACTGAACTCGAACTCGAGAAAGAAAGCTCCTATAGCTAAGGGATGGTGAATTATGTCTTTTCCCTTCGCTTAAAGCACTTACATATTTGCTTGTCTTGTGCTTCCTTATTTTCAATCTTCGTAGTAGGACTTCAAACATGTGGTGGATAAGCTATTATCGACTCTATCGGATTCTTCTGTTGCAGTTGTCGGGTACGTATCCATATGACTTATTTCACGGTACAAAATGCATTTCTACTCGGTTGAGGATCAATTTTATCCATTATGTTAGGCATAATCGGCCTATTTCTTTGATTTGGTAAGCAAAATAGCTTAATTAGTGCTAGGAATATTTCTCTAAGGTTTGATAAGTGCTAAAAATATTTCACTAAGGTTTCGCATGGTTGTTTAAAATTCTATGGCAGGACAACAGCTGAGAGCAGCCATGATTGAAATTTGTGCTATATACCTACCTGATGTTCCTAAATAAATTAAATATCTGTCGGAAAAATACGTTACAGCAAACCATTTAAACTTTTACCCAGAACTCATTAACTCTATTTCTTATTAAATCAAGGCTCAGTGACGACATTCGCAAGGCGCTCCTCGCTTCGCTCGCGCGGTTCAAAGCGCTAAACCTTCTATGATGATAAGGAATCCTTTGTGCTTTTTTGAAATATGAGGACCTAGCAAATCAATAGTTCACTTTCCAGTTTTAAATAGGTTACTAAGCTATCGTTGTTTGTGCCTTCTCTTTAGGGCTCTAATCCTTTCACATCCCAAGATTACTTAAAGTGTAATATTTAGGTCCACTTCACAGACAGGAAGCTATTCTAATCGATGGTATTTTTGGCTATGTCTACATAAAGCTTAGCGGTCTGTAATTGACAAACGATTAACCGTGTGTTATAGTTTTTGAGGGGATTTGGAACGCACGCTGATGTGACAGATATGTTTGATGCGATTGGTGTGGTGTGTTGATATTTGGCTTGATTACGAAAGAATAAATGATGATCGGTATGAGCAAAAAGCGACGGTGGAAACGAACACACAAAAGTTTCCTTGTGGTGCTGGTCGATATCTTTTAACTTGAGTGACTTTGATTATTGAGATAGATCGATCTGCCCGCAAATGGCGCGAAACTAAAATTTATATATGTGTGCACGATATGCATTTACGTGAGGAAACATATATGTTAATTATGCTCAGAGTGACGGTTAACACGTTTAAATTCTACAGCAGTCTAAAAGGAAGTTATTTGTTATGAAATATAATCATTTCGATACTCACTCATTTTTTACCTTTCGATTGACTGGACTTTTAGGAATTCTACTGCGAAAATGGACAAACAGTGCTCTTGGTAATATAAACAGTAAGTTGCCCTTTGCTCATATGAGTTGTAGCAATAACTTTTGTGAAATGCATAAAAGTATCATATCTTTCTTTTCTTGCTGTCAATAACGACACAAAACAAAAAGAGTAATGAGAGTGAGGAATATCTCTGATTCTTGGGGTCAATTTCGAGAGTGAAGATGTATATTCGAGTTCGTACTTGCTGTACATTCATACAGCAAAGGTCAAAGTAAAATGATTATATTTGCATGAGGCGACTATTTTGAAATCAATCTGCGGAACTTAGGTCATGTTTACAACTGGTTGTTTCGCAATGAAGTGACAAGCGTTTTGTTGGTTACTTGGGTAAACTTTCTAATTCACGTTATTTTCCCCTTCATGATTGTCATGTGCTCAATCGTTTTCTTTTTTTTATATTTGATTGTTTCATAGGTTTTCTTTCTTTTTTCTACCTTGCAGTCAGGCTAGTCGAAGGAAATGCGCTCAATAGAGGTCGTGTTGAAATCTTGCACAACGGTGTCTGGGGAACAATTTGTCATGATTATTGGGAAATGCCGGATGCTAATGTACTCTGCCGCCAGTTGGGTTTCGAAGGTGCCCTTGTAGCACTCCGTTCTGCTGCTTATGGAGAGGGAACTGGAGAGATATGGCTGGATGACGTTGATTGTAAAGGAAATGAGCCCTCAATTTTCCAGTGTGGACACAAGGGATGGGGAATTCGGAACTGTGATCATAGCCAAGATGCTAGTGTGATTTGCATTCCAATTGGTAATTTGTTAAAACTAGATGTTAGAGGAATGAATGTGAGTGCTAAATATCTCTTGCTTTCGTTAAACCAGGATGCAATACCAAAGTTCGGTGCAATATAGATTTCTCACAAAAAAACGTTTTGTTCATTTGTTTGTTGAACTCCTTTGGTTAGTTCTCAGTCATACGTTTATTGAATTTCTTCGGTTAGTTCTCCAGTAGAATTGTTGTGTTACTGGACAGACATGTGACAAAAGACAAGTAAAAACCAACGCGAAACAAAAAAATATATTTCCACTTTGTTTTTAAATATTTTTGCAGATCTGATCTAATTTTTTTGTTTCCAACAGTTCGTTTGAGTGAAGGAGTGTTCTCCCACAAAGGTTTAGTTCAAGTTTACCGCAGCAGAACGTGGGGCTGGATCTGTAATCAGGGTTGGGATAAACAAGATGCCGACGTGGTTTGTAGAGAGTTAGGTTTCACAAAGGCTTCTATGGTTTACGGCAGTTTAAAAGATAAAGGTGGTGTTATATGGATGAAAAATATTCAGTGCATTGGCAATGAAACGTCACTCGTCTTATGTGACCATGAAGACTGGAAGAAATATAGCTGCACAAATGGTCAACTCGCAGGTGTGGAGTGCAGCGTACCTGAAGGTAGGAGTATCGTATCCAAAGAATAACAAATAACATAATTATGGTATGGCTTTGAGGTTTTTTCACTTGCACCTTGATCAATGATCAAATTTGATCAAAGTTTAGTCTTGTAGCATACTTCTCCTCTAAAAAAGTATGGAAAATATCCATAAAATCCTTAAGGTACCTTTTTGCAATTTTTAAAGAAAATTCCACAAATGTAGCAGCTCTCTTTTTTTATCCTGTTCGGAAAAAATTTATTTCACAGATTTAGAGGTGTGCCCTGGCTTGTAAATTCGATACTTTAACCAACTTAATCCGTTTTTATGGCAAAGGGTGTAAACAATGCAAGTGAACAGAATCATAAACTCTAACGAAAAGCGATGGTTAATTCCTTGTAGTGTTCATAACATTCGAACAGATGCGTTAGGCTTAGCAGCAAAATCTTTTCAAACCAGCAAAGATCAAATGACATGAAGGGTTTCAACTTTCATATGAAGTAACTGTGGCATCTGAAAGGTAAACATTTAATATCCCCAGTAAGGTTAGTTGGCGGGACTGCCTCATATGAAGGTCGTGTCGAAGTATCCTATGATGGCAGCTGGGGAACAATTTGTCATGATTACTGGGAACTGCCAGAAGCCTCTGTTTTCTGCCGTCAGCTGGGATTCGAAGGAGCGCTACTTGCTCTTCGTTCTGCTGCTTTTGGAGAAGGGTCAGGGATCATATGGATGGATGATGTCCACTGTGCTGGAAACGAAACAGCGATAACGCAGTGTAAGCATAGGGGATGGAGAGTGACAGATTGTGATCACAGCAAAGACGCCGGTGTGATCTGCACACCGAAAGGTAAGTACACTCTAACCCTTGATATTTATAATTTTTACTCCGATTGAGCGATCCTGCTTACCCTTGACGGAGTCACAACTGCCTCTTGGTATCATCTTCCTCTATATTGATTCAATGCAAGTTTCAGCAAGTTTTTTTTGTTGTTGTTGCTGTTTTTTTTTGGTTTTCAGAAATTGTACGAGGTTCTTTTTTATAGCGTTTGATCCCTGTAGAACCTTTATTAAGTGGTCAACCGGCATCGAGCGGTGACCTCGCCATACCCCGTGAGTGACACTTAATACAGGTTCGACTGTAACAAACCAAGAAAGGACCAGAAAAAACCGTGCGAATTCATTGAATCTCGTAACTACTTATAATGTAAACGGAGCTGTTGCTGTTGCGTCACGTCTACTCTGTCCATAAAATATTTGTTTCTAGGTATGGAGAGGTTGTTAATAACCGCGGGTGATATATTTACGTTTAAAGATGCCTTAAACCCGTAGCTAATTCTTGCGTAAGCAATCTTGGAAAAGGGAGCCTTGGCCTACCTCACTCGATCGTTGCAGAATTTGGCTGTTTAATGCTCTTGCGATGTAATTTCAAAGACAGTTGCAAAAAAGAAACTAAAAAAAAAGGAAAGGAGAAGACCAACAACAAAAAAATAGACATCGCTAACAAACACCACGAAATTCTCCTTTTGGTCTTATACGGAGAGCTAGATCGCACTCAAGTCAAAATGTTTCTGTTCGGAAGAAGGGATCCTTCTTGAAGGTCTAAAATTGCAATTTTCATGCCTGGGCCGAGTTGTTCAAGGGGCGGGTAATGCTAACGGATAAATGGCTATCAAGTTGATGATTTTTAACAAAGTGTACTGCTCTAACCACGTTATCCCCCCTTGGAACATCCGGGGCCTTAAGTGAAATTATGCAATTATTTTCCAACAGTTCGTGTAGGTGGAGAAATCAATGCTACCCAAGGTCTGGTTCAGGTTTATCATAACAAGGCATGGGGATGGATTTGTAATCAGCTGTGGGACGACACGGATGCAAACGTGGTTTGTAAGGGGTTGGGGTATGAAAATGCTACACTTTTGTACAGTAACCCGGTTGATAAAGGCGGAATGATTTGGATGAATCACGTACAGTGCGATGGAAGCGAAAGATCTTTAGTCTCGTGTACACATAATGGATGGAAAGATCACAGCTGTGCAAAAGGTCAACTTGCTGGTGTGGTTTGCAGTATTCCAAAAGGTCAACATCAACTTTTAACTCCAAATATTATCAGTTTTTAATTTACGGGCTAGCGCACTCTAACTTTCTATCAAAAATTCTGCAATCTGATTGGCTACGCGACTCGCTATCTATTCTGTGATAGATAGTAGGTAAAGCGAGCTTGCAGCTGTAATCTGATGATAAGATTAGTAACTCCCGATTTTCCTTGCGATTTTTTATCATGCAACAGTTTGGGTCGACAATAGTGCCTTATGTTGTGGTGTAGTTGAAGTAGTAATCTAACATGTCAAATTAAGGTTTTTGTGATCGGTAACTATGAAATGGTGCATAGCAGTACGGTAAAATGTTGGCTCTAGTTAATTTGTATTTGTAAGCGGACTTTTAATTTGTAAGATACATAGTAAGAGTTGAGTTGACTCTTACTGCAAGATGCCTTTTTACATAGAATCTGTTACAAAGTGTTTTATCAAAATTCATGTGAGATTTCTGCAACCGCACTCAACCCAACTCCAAAGGTATTTGAATAAGTTTGAAAACTGAATTTTGGTTCAAGTAACCATAACATTTGAAGGAAAACTATTTATTGTTAAATTTATTGACAATTGGTTAATCTTTTCTTAACAGTAAGGCTTGTTAATGGAACAGCACCTTACAATGGTCGTGCAGAAATATTCTACAATGGAGAATGGGGTACAATTTGTCATGATTATTGGGACAATCCAGAAACAAATGTCTTCTGTCGTCAGCTCGGATTTGAAGGGGCAATTACAGGACTTCGCTCTGCTGCTTTTGGACAAGGCTCTGGAATGATATGGATGGATGACATCAACTGTACCGGACAGGAGACTGCAATATCTCAGTGTGTACACAGAGGATGGAGAGTAACAGACTGTAAACACAACCAAGATGCTAGTGTGATCTGCATCCCAAAAGGTGAAATGATCATAAAAAAAATCATGTAATATTATTATTGCAGACCTTAATGGCTATAGGAAGAACGCTTACTCCTTGTGCTCTGTCGTTAATGGATAAAATTTTGTAATTTTCTTTCTCTGTAGTGGCGGTTTTGAGACCGTTTGACAAGGTGCGAATCGTCTTTGAAGATTATGAATAGCACTTGTCACCTTTCCATAAGCTCTTTGCCTCTTCCTTAGGCTAACTTTGTCCTGGCTGTAAAAATTTAAACATAAATCGCGTATGAGGTATAGAGGTAGCCATCTAGTCACTTTACTCGTATTCTTTAAAGTTCATCCTCCATAGATCCACTGATATTTTTCATATATGACCCCTAAATACTTTAAAGACGCATTCGCTTGGAAAATATACACTCCTATAACTTGGCTTACGAACGACTAACACCGATCTTTTTGCTATTAGTTCGCCTAGGTGGAGATAAATATTTAGGCGAAGGTCTGGTTCAAGTTTATCACGAAAAGACATGGGGCTGGATATGCAGTGAAAAATGGAATAAACAGAATGCTGATGTGCTTTGTCGAGAGTTAGGATACACAAATGCTTCTTCATCATACAGCAGTTCCGCAAACACGGTTGGTGAGGTGTGGATGAATAATGTGCAGTGTCAGGGAACTGAAAGATCGTTACTTTTCTGTGCCCATGATGGTCGGAAATCTCATAGCTGTACAAACGGTCGAGTGGCTGGCGTATTTTGTGTTGTTCCTGAAGGTAAGCGAATTTTGTAATCAGACAATTTCCAAACAAATTTCACCGACAGAAATCGATAAAATGAATTTAAGAGTGTGTCCACGAGAGCATCAGACAGTCGTGCTACATGCTATTCCACCGATTTCAATGAAACCTTGCTAGTTTAAAGGCTCTAGCCTAAATTTCACACAGACAGAATGGTCTCTGTTTTGGTCATTTCCAGGGGGAGATTGACCACCCCTAGTTTTTCCTGGTTTTCCAAGAAAATCGCTTCAAAATAGGTTGAATGTATGAAGCTCTCACTGCGATGGTATTCGGCCGAATACTTTGAGAGTTTGCATATATATATTGTTACATCCTTAATAAATATAAGACGCAAGTAGCAGTCAATTTGAATGACAGCTTATCAATCAACAGAGGCAAATAAATGACTGTGTTTTCAGACTATTCGATTCATCCAAATATTTGATAATTTTGGGGTCAAATATCTCTCCTTGCCTGAAAGCTGCAACACTAATCTTAATTCCTCTTTATAATCCATCATTTCATCTCTGAATAACTTCGAAAAAATATTTGGGCACTGGCGTATTTTTGTTTTGGATGCCTTTTAAAATCTGAGACCGTGACAAGCTTCTATCAACCACACCTGTCACGCAATTCTGGCTCTAAGCTGTCACTTGAGAAATAAACCTATATTTCATAGCTTGTTATACATGGTTATTGATTAGGAGGCTATGAAATGTAAACAACTTCTTTTTGTAGGAAGGATAATTAAATGTTAAGAGAGAGGCATGTTGACGAAATGTTGATGGGAGAATCGTAGGGTTTCTTTCTTCTGTCGTCTAATACTTTGGAGATTTGTTAAAATCAGGAAATATGGCTTTTGTGCGGCACAAAACCTTGATTTTATAACTGGTCTATGATTTGATTGTTTACTATCATTATTGCACAGTTCACAATTAGGAAACTGCAACAGGAGAGGAGATTTTAAGTCACATGTCGCGTGCCGGATGACGAGAAACTCTTCCCCTTCGTTTGAAAGGAAATATCAATAGTTCCATCAAATTCATAAACTGCGCTATCTTTCCAGAAAATAAAACTGGAAGATGTCATTTCCACTTTCCACCATAAAGAAATACCACGCTTCAGAAACAGCCTTTGTAGCGTGACTGCGTGACCTTTCTCCAAAAGTACAAAAACTTTGTTTACCTTTCTTTTTTTTTTAAGGTAACATTTCTAGAAATTTCTTAAGCCTTCTGTTATCTTATTTGCGTTCTTCTGACAGCAAATATCATCTTTATCTGCCATTATTTTCGCTGAATGTCATGGCCTTTCCTGCGTGTACGAACATAACACCCTTTCGAGTTTCATTGCGTTTTGTCTGGTTTAAATTTGTAGGTCTAGCTCAAAAAGGGCAAGCAATACGGGTTCCCATGTTTCTCTTTTTTCTTTATTTGCATTTTTATTTTCTTTCTTGCATTATCATAGATGAATGTCCTTTTTAATTCCTCAGCGCGTTCTCTCAGATTTGGAAGAAGGCTATGAAAAGTCAATGTTGACCAGAACTAAACCCTTTCTACAACTTATTGTTTCAAAGACCCCTAAAGTTTATAACTTTTTTTCGAAAGAGAATGCGTTTTTATTTGCTATTTATTGCAATTTATTGCAATTTATTGCGACAATATAATTTGAGAAAATACGAGAAAGCAACACTGTTTTGGTTTTACGCACGAGAAATTCACTTTCAGCTTTTTTAGCCTGACGCTTAATTCATTCGCTGCCCTCCAAAAGCACCTTAACAAAGGCAAACAGGAAGTCAAGCTGGAAAAAGAATCTTCCTTTGACGAGATCAAGAGTAAAATAAGCAAAGGCTTGCCATTCTGTAGAGGGTGGCTACGGTTTAGGTCAGACCTCATGAAAAAATTCTGATGAACAATCCCTTGTTAGCCGGGTGGACTTTCGATAGGCCCTTTGCAAAACCAAAAAAGCAGCCGCCTTTTCTAAGAAAGCAAAGAGTTATCTCCTAGACATGTGCTGGACAGGGGAGAAAACTAGCAAGAAGGCAACCGCCTCTGATGTGGTTTCCCAAATAAAGAGTTTCAGAGCAGACACGGACCAGAAATGTCTGAGACTAACTAAGCGGCCATATTTGCTGATTTTAGCAAAACTCCAAAGTAATAAACGACAGAAGAAAGAAACACTACGATTTTCAGATCAATATTTCTCATACATGCTTCTCTCTAAACGTAAAATTTTCCATTTTAACAGAAAATCTCGAAACTTATTTACATTTCTTAGCCTTATAGACCAATCATCTTGTATGAAGAGCTATAAAATAAAGGTTTGTTTGCTTTGCGTGACAGGTGTAGTTGAGAGAAGCTTGTAAAAAATCATTAAAATGTATGTTATCAGCAGTTTGAACAATTCCTTACCATTTATTTACACGATGTTATTGAATTTATCCGACTAACTTCTTACTTCACAGAAAAAGTAGCCCGTTTTCTCACTATGTGCCACACAAAATCGCGATTTTGGACTTTCGATTCAGCGCGATTTAATCCAACTTCAAAGTTGGATAAAATGCGCCGATTTGACGGTCGAAAATGTGCACATACACACGCATTTTACGTCTAATTTTTTTTGTTTCGCATTTTACGTCTAATCTACAGCTTATTTAACATAATATCCTTTTACCTTTCATGTTGCTCTTTCGAGGAAGAGGGCTACATTCCTGAAATTGTTGCATCGTTCACTCAAAAGCAAAATAAAAAGGTAGGATAGTCAATGCCTCCTGATCCTGCTCTCAGATTTCATGATTTAATGAAACATGGTATTTTTTAAATTATTGTTTTAGGTGGTAAGGTCTAGGATCAGCAAAGGGCATAACCCATCACTGCAGATGTGCAATAGAGCAAAGTGTGGTGTTAGAATATTTCTTTACTGATTTAAAAGAAGCTGTGTAAGAGTCAAAACCACAACAAGAAAACCACAACTTTCACTGAAATTTTTATACAAGCCAAATTTACATTTAAACTTCTCTAGAGGCTACCATGCCTTGTGAAGTTACTCGTGCCAGTAGTAAGACTACGACCCAGATAGCACGTCCTGATATTCACGTTGTCTTTCCGGGCAGTGATCCGGAAGCTTACATTTGCTTACAAAACCATTACTGCGTATCTCGAAACTCAAGAAACGACTTGAGTAATCATTGCACCAGCTGATACAGCAGACTCGAGTGCGGGTCGCTATACCTTACGTTAGGGACTTAGCGTACACGTCCCCTGAGTGCTAATTGTGCTGATATTGTATATTTTAAAAAGTGGCTTTTAAAAGAATTAACCCTGTTAGTTAGATATTTAGTAATCTTGCCCAAGAAGCTAGCCGAATGAGCAGTGATCTATCCCCCCCAAATATAGTCGGGTCCAAAGCCATCAATGAATTATATGGCAGTACATTAAAGAGCATAGATGATGCGTAATGACGAATTTAACACAAGCTGTTGTTTGATCTGACCAGAATTTTCACGCCCACTTCTAAAAGACTAACGTATAGATTTTATTAGAGGAAAACAAAGTAAACAAAACTATAGGAGATGAACTTCGTTTGTCTCACGATGGGGTCAGTTTGGATGTTAATCGCGACGTTTCGACTGCAATACTGCCAGTCTTCATCAGGCGGTGAGGTTGATTATTTACGTGTCGCTATTTGTAGCACGTCGGTTCGCTGCTATTGGTGACAAACGAATAAAGTTCATCTCCTACCTTAAACCACGATGAACAATAAACACATATTTTTTAACAATAAACATACCCATATTGTGCTTATCTCCTCAATCTTTCCTTCGAAGGTCAGAAATTTTAGAAGTAAATGACAACTTTTCATAGACGACACGTTAAAAAGAAACATTTCCATATTCAGCCAGAGCGGATTACAACGGTACGCTAATAATCCGTAAGATTTGCTGACAGGGCGTGGATCTTTTCCCTGGCAAGGAATTCAAGGTTTGCATTGGATATTTTAGTCCATGCATTTACTACCACAATTGTCAACTAATTCTGGCAAAATATCTATTTAGGGCTGCTTTCGCTTGCTTGTTATTGAAGATACGTCCAGCTCGAGCAAGGTGCAAATCTGTAATAACACGAGGGACAACCAGGATGAGAAACTGAGAGGTTTACTCAGTCAAATCTACATGGTAACCGACAACGAATATTTAAGGAGTTTAACTTGCGGGAGCGGGTCCCTAAAGGACGCACACGCTGCTAACTGTCACAATATAACGCAGCTTATTAAAACAAATCTCCCGCAGCCATCCGCACAGGAACCTTTGACAGCTTCCACTAGCCCACAATTTTACAGATGTTGTATTTGTCAAATATGATTGGATGCTGAAGAGCAAAAGTCTTAATTACTTCCTCAGTAAGCTCTTGGATGCCTCATATCTTTCAACATCTTCGCCGCAAGTGCTGAAAGTTTTTTTTCGCTGTTAACCGTGCGAGGAAGTCTTCCTTTTCAAAGAAACTGGAGCTGTTGCTGTGCTCAGCTCTTCGCATTCGCATTCTTCAAAATGGTAGTGGAATCAGCCTTCTGCCCAGTGCTTTCCTTCAGTAAGATAGTTTTTCTAAGCATTGGCGAGATTCTTCCTTGGTGCTATCGTTAACTTCAGAGCCTGTTGGTGCTGGACCTTCATCCCCTGACGATATATATATATATATATATATATATATATATATCTTCATCCTCAGTTTCAGAAACTGCAGCAGCGCCATCTCCAGTTTAGCTGCGCACAATGTTATTGCCTTGTCGCACAGCGTTTCTTGTTCTAGGGTTCTAGGGCATACTTATGTTTGCCACAGTTCAGATGTCCTTTTGAGGGCGAGAAATGCTGGAAAGACTTGATGTGACCCTCCTCTGGACAATAAAAGAGTCCACTTCCTTTTTCACAGGTTTCGTCGTCACTGTCATTCTCGCGTGCTGCGGCTTTGCTAATTCTGTAGTTTGTTTTGCGCTTTGTCAAGCTTTGACGGTTTGGAAAGAAACACTGGAAATCGCATTATCTGTATGCTTGTTTAACTGAGGAAGAGGGCTCCTGCTTTGTTGGCAGAAACTTCCCCGAGATTAAAATTTTACCGCAAGCCAACTCCATATGCTCTTCACCTTAGCACACCTCCTTTGGTGTATGCAACGTTATTAATAAAACTACTACTCGTCCCACTTCACTGGCGTTGAATTTGCAGTAAGTACGCTGAGGACCGCTCACAGTCATGCTGAGTCCAGCCATTCCGCCAGATCACCTATGGCTGTCATCATCTGCGATGCTGTCTCGATGTCATGGCTGGCATTGAGATTCTCATTTTATTTTCTATTTTACAACCTCGCAGTCACGAGCCTTTCTACCTTGGGGGTTTGAAAAGTTAACGCGCTTCAGATTTATTCCTTGCTTGGTCAAGTTCTTCTGTAGATGATCGGTAAGGTGTTAGCGGTTATGCTAACCAAACAAAAGTAAGAGGGCAGGAAGGTTCAAAACGTATCACAATTCAGTAATTGTAGCAAGCAGTGGTTTTAATCACCGAACTAGGTTGATCTTTCGATCTTTTTGTCTTAAAGACCGCAAAATAGGCTTGTGTTACATTCTTCATTACGCATCATCTACGCTCTATAAAGTACTGCCATATAATTCATTTTGGCTCTGGACTCGACTATATTTGAGGGGAATAGATCACTGTTTAATCGGGTTGCTTCTTGGGCAAGATTACTAAATATCTAACGAGCAGGGTTAATTCTTTTAAAACCCACTGTTTAAAATATACAATATCAGCATAATTAACGAACAGGGGACATGTATTTTACGCTAAGTCCCTGATGTAAGGAATACCAATCCTTACTCGAGTCTGCTGCATCAGCTAGTGCAATTAGTACTCTAAGAGAGTAAATTCACAAGGCATGGTAGCCTCTGGGGAAGACGAAGTGTAAATATCAATTTGGCTTGTATAAACTTTTCAGTGAAAGTTGTGGATTTGACCCTTCTACAGCTTCTTTTAAATAAACAATATTCTAACACTGCACTTTGCTCTATTGCACATCTGCAGTAATGGTCTTTGCAGATCTTCAACTTTAATCACCTAAAACAATAATTTAAAAAATACCATGATTAATTTAATCATGATGCATTTAATTATGATCAGGATTAGAAGATTGTTTGCTCC